ATACATATATATACATATGTAAATATATGATTGGAAATTGCAGAGATAAGACTGGTTTGATAATGTTGTTTATATATTGCAGTGGTCTTGTGCCTGTCTCACTCATAGATATCATATAATCAATGTTTATATCTATGGCCTCACTCATCACGTTTGTCAAAACAGGAAATCGAGTGAACGTAGTGACGTCATTGGTGAGCGCCTCTTCTGGCCTTCGAAAATGGGCTTCACCTGTTAGCCCAGATTTTTTTTTTTTCCAATTGTCCATCTGCATATCACCATTTTTAGAAAAAAAGAACGTCAGTCCGCAATGACATTTGGAGGTAAGTGAACAATACGAGACAAAGCAGAGACTTTTATGCCCGGTATCCCTGCCATGTTTGTTTTGAGCTGATGAGCGTTGAGTCGGACTCACGTAGATTAGCCATGGTGCTAGCTTGCGGCAGCCGCTGCGTTAGTAACGTATTTATTTGTAACATAAACTGGATAATTTTGTATTACGTTAACTTTAATTTGGGCGCAAAACAACATTTAATTTCTAACTATTACTTTATTTATTTTTACTTGAAAATGTAAGTAAAAATATAAGTAGCTAGCTACCTTCAGCCATGTCAGCCAGAAGCTTAACGTAAAGCAACGCTACCATAACAGACGGAATAGTGAGGTGTTTATTGCTGTCTTTTTCGTAATTTTTATGTCGTACACCCAATGATCCACTTACTCTGGTCTTATAGAAATAAGGATCCTCCTTTATTCTTGTCCTAAAGACAAAAAGCCTTTGTTCACTTGACTTTTATTTTATGCTAGCAACATTTCTCTTTTTCTCGAAATACAGTAATCTGGTTGTTGTGCTCATTACAAACTTCCTCCACCTTGATTAATTTAAAGGTAGTTTGGTTTTGAGCACAGATCCCATCTTCAAAGAAGCAACAGAGGCACTGAAAGTGACTCAGCTGTAATAAATATTAGAATGTATGTATAGCCATTAGTATTTTTATGGTGCATCTTTGAAGTCGTTTTGAGTATTTATTTTTAAAGATATTAATTTACTTTATTTGCCTTGATTTGAAAGCCTGTTTTATTAAAGGTTCATATTGTGGGACGTTTTTGTGTTTCTGTAGAAGTTTTGCCTTAATTTTGAGTCATACTGCAGTTTTAACTCGTTCGAGTATTTTTGTGGTTGCGACAAACAATTTGAAATCATTTTGCCATTGAAGCGATGTAGATTTTCTAAAGTTGGATCTGTCTTAGGTGAAAATATAAAAAAAATATTTGTGTGAATTTGAGAAGTTTCAAAATACAAGTACAGGTGCTGGTCATAAAATTAGAATATCGTGAAAATGTTGATTTATTTCAGTAATTCTATTCAAAAAGTGAAACTTGTATATTGTATTCATTCATAACACACAGACTGATATATTTCAATTTTTATTTATTTTACTGTTGATGATTATAACTGACAACTAATGAAAACCCCAAATTCAGTATCTTAGAAAGTTAGAATATTGTGAAAAGGTTCAATATCGAAGACACCTGGTGACACACTCAAATCAGATAATTAACTCGGCGGGGGAGAGACGGACGCAAGTCTGAGCGGTGTGCTGTTTGTACCGACAGTTTTCGAGTGGCAGGGGTGCGTTCAGCGTGAGGGTTCAGCGTGAAGGAAGAGGCTGCCTTTAGCTTTTTAGCTAGTCCACCTGCATTGCGAGCTGCTAGTTTAGCGTTACGTCAGTGCAGACAGGGGGTGGGGTTCGGTAGACGGGGCGCTCGGTTCTGTTGACGGGGCGTGGCGCCCCGCTTGTATAATGGTAGGGGAAACACTGCATTCCAAAATGTGGGGAAGATTCGCAAAGAGTGGACTGCAGCTGGTGTCAGTGCTTCAAGAACCACCATGCACAGGCGTATGCAAGACATGGATTTCAGTTGTCGCATTCCTTGTTTGAAGCCACTCTTGAACAAGAGGCAGCGTCAGAAGCATCTTGTCTGGGACTGCTGCTGAGTGGTCCAAAGTGATGTTCTCTGATGAAAGTAAATTTTGCGTTACCTTTGGAAATCAAGGTCCCAGAGTCTGGAGGAAGAGAGGAGAGGCACATAATCCACGTTGCTTGAGGTCCAGTGTCAAGTTTCCAGTCATTGATTGCTTGGGGTACCATGTCATCTGCTGGTGGTGGTCCACTGTGTTTTCTGAGGTCCAAAGTTAACACAGCTGTCTACCAGGAAGTTTTAGAGACTTCATGCTTCTGCTGCTGACCAACTTTATGGAGATGCAGATTTCAAGTTCCTACAGGACTTGGCACCTGCACACAGTGCCAGAGCTACCAGTACCTGGTTTAAGGACCATGGTATCCCTGTTCTTAATTGGCCAACAAACTCTGCTGACCTTAACCCCATAGAAAATCTATGGAGTATTGTGAAGAGGAAGACACAATACACGAGACCCAACAATTGAAAAGAGCTGAAGGCCACAGAGCAACCTGGGCTCTCAGAACACCTGAGCAGAGCCACAGACTGATGGACTCCATGCCACACTGCATTGATGCAGTAATCCAGACAAAAGGAGCAACAACTAAGTATTGATGCTGTACATGCTCATATTTTTCATGTTTTCATTCTTTTCAGTTGGCCAATATTTCTAAAAACCATTTTTTAATTGGTCTTAAGTAATATTCTAATTTTCTGAGAAACTGAATTTGGGGTTTTCATTAGTTGTCATTTATAATCATCATTTATAATCATCATATCATATAATTTTATGACCAGAATCTGTAAATGTAATAAAAACTTCCCTGTTAAAACAGTGGTACTGGTGTAATCATGTATCACAATTTTAGAAATTAATCTGTTTAACTAAAATCAACTGGTGATCTTGTTCAGAAAATAATTAGGGCTCAAACAAGAGAAGTTTCTAGGGTACATTTTAATTATTTTTTGTCAGAAAAGCAGATGTCAACAGCTGTATTTATTCTAACAAGGTTGAGTCAGGTCCTTTGGAGACATTCTTCTTTGTTGAAACGTTTCGTCTTTTATCCCAAAGACCTTCAGTCTGAAGACTGAAGTTTTATTTATTTTTTTAATACTTCTTTTGACTTCCAAAAGACGAAACGTTTCAACATAGAAGAATCTGTGCAGGGGACCATTTATCTTCCTGGATTATTGAGCATGCACCAGAATTGCATTTATTGTTGTTTTTGCAGTAACGGATCAGTTTAGTCACGTTTTTAAGGTCCACAATTATAATGTACAAATTGCTAATAATTAAGCTTTCAAAAACTTACCTTCAAGTTTTATTTTTTCTATTGACTTGCATAACTACATAATACAGTTGTTGTTGTTCATTTTCTTTTCAGGTAAATTGCCAGACAGAGTCAGCCAGGTAATTTCAGAACTGGTTCCTGTGCAGGCTGACTGGCTTGCGGGTTTCAGTTCTTGTGCTGTACAGTAAAGCAACTCACTTGGCCCAGGCATTGCAATGAAACCAGCTCAGGAGCGAAACCAGGAGTGCCTGCCTCCTAAGAAGAGGGACCTACCAATTAGTAACAGCGGCGGGACTGGGGGGACGGGGGGAGGTGGGGCTGTAGGAGGTGGTGGCAGTACATCTGGAGGTAGTAACGAAGAAGATGAAGGGCTTCCCATCCAGAATTCTGCAGCCAACAGTGACACTCATCGAGGAACCCCATCTGGAGACTGGGTGCGAGCTCATCCAGAGCTTCATTATGCAGTGGACAATTCAGATGGAATATCTGCAGTGCCTGTTGACCAGTACAGCATGCTTTACAAAGTGGCTGTTCCATCTGTTACCTACTCATCTACCAGTCTTCACCCAGTGTTAAGCCACATCTCTCCAGCTTATACTGTACATTCTCCACTCCTGCAGCATCCAGGCCTTCCCTATCCTCCGCTTGGTTATGCACACATCCCTCATCCATCTCTCCAGTTTGTTAGTTCCCCGTATGCCGCAGTACCTTACGCTGTACCTTCTGGCTTTGTGCCGGGATCATTGATTCCTCCTTCTGCTACCATCCCTCAGTCTCATGCTGTGTCTCACCTAGTTCCTTATCCAACTGTCATACAAGAAGATGTTTCCCAACCACCTCAGACCCAGGTTACTGCTCATACTTTTGCCAAAGTTGCAGCTTCAAGTGGTGTCCCACTGATCCTGCCTTCAGAGCAACTGACCCAGCAGCACCTCAGTGCTGGTGGAGTTCAACCTGCTGCCGAGGTCAACTCTCGGGGGATGCCAATTTTCTATCAACCTCAGGGCAGCCGGGCTGCCACTGCCACCAGTGACTGTCACAGTTCTCAGCAGGAAACTATAACGGAGATTAATGGGGGAGGTAAAGAGCAGAGCATAAGGGAGGTAGGACCAGACTTTGCCTACACTTCCAGAAATGCACATTTACAGCCGGTAGCAGCTAGTTCTGCATCACAAGAACGAGTTCTGCAGAGCCGAAGGCTAGAAGGTCGAAGCTCACCCGGTCAGCGCAGCACTCCAGACAGTGATCTGGAGGTAAGAAACTCTGATCGCATGCTAATAGAACTTTAAAATCTGAACACAATTATTGAACTTGTATATACAAAGTCAGCATCTATACAAGTCACCGTTATTGGTTTTGTTTCAGTAAAAGTAAAATCTTGTTTTGTGTTTACCTTTTCAGGTGCAGCAGGTAGTTGGTCGTCTGGCTTCCTCCAGTCAGGGTGGTAGTGGATTACGAAAAGAGGTGTGCTTTGCTCCCTTGAATCTCTCACAGGCCGGCCAAAGAGCTAGAGATGCCCATGGAGACGGCACAGGTGCAGTGACTGGAAGGACTGCGTTTGTGGCACAAGCCTCGAGTTACGGTAATCACAGAGTGACTGGTCTCCATCAGCAAACGGGGCAGCCAGGTCATGCTGTCATGTATGCCAATGGGCAACCAGTTCTCATTCCCCTTGAGTACCACTCGCAGCAGCAACACTACCCAGGACAGGCTAATGATTTATCAACCTCTGCCACCATGGCCTCCACTAACTCCAGCTTTAAAGCCTCAGATCCTTCAGCCAGAGTGTGCCTCCCTGAAAGAGCAGAGCCAACCACAGCACAGCAGCCTCTCTTGCAGCCACCAGTCTACTCTACATCAGATGTAACTCAGGCCGTAGCTTCAAGCATCACTCCTACCCCAGCTCCCTCTAATCCATCACACTTCATGAAAGGGGCAATCATTCAGCTGGCCACCGGAGAGCTAAAGCGTGTGGAGGACCTGCAAACTCAGGATTTTGTGCGAAGTGCTGAAGTGAGTGGTGGGCTTAAGATTGATTCCAGCATGGTGATGGACATCCGTGCCAGCCAGCAGAGACCAGGTCTTGTATCTCTCCATTTTACAGTGGGGGAACAGCAGAGCAAAGTGACCATCGATGTGCCCCCAGAGCACCCCTTCTTTGTTTTCGGCCAGGGATGGTCGTCATGCAGCCCTGATCGTACGGCGCAGATGTACGGCTTGGCCTGCCATCATCTACAAGTTGGAGACATGTGCGTGTCCATTACTCTGCAGCAGCAGCAGCTTCAACCACAGCTGCAGAAACAACCACAGCATCACAATTCACAACAACAGCAGCAGCAGAACATGTCCAGGACTTTGACAAAAACTAATGCTACATCAGGACCTGGTCACCAGCTCATGGGGCCTCCTGCGCCTCAGCAGTCGCGGGCTCAGTCTCATTTCAGAATGGACCGCGTCCATCGAGAAAGACAGAGGGATGGAGAAAAAGATGCGACAGATAAGGAGGAAGCCACGCATTTGAGGGTTGTTGGACACATTGAATCACCAATCAGGCCCAGTAGGACCTCTTCAGAGCATCCAAGGAGTCAAAGCAGTTATCACTTGCACACAGAGGGCTCTGCATTTGGAGAAGCAGGCATGGGAGCCTCTCAGAGGCGCTGGTCTTCACCTGGCCTCCAAAGATACAATTTGAAAGGAGATGAAGGGCCGCGTCCCCAGATAATCACCTCTGGCCACACAAGGCCATCTTTTCTCCCCCAGGAGGTTAAACTGTCCATTGAGGGGCGCTCTAATGCAGGGAAGTAGCATCACATTCAGTAGCAACTAACGGAGAGACTCCCGGGACTAAGAAAGAGTCTGACAAGGAGAGAAAGAAGGAAAAGAAAGAGTGTGAATGTAGCCTCAGAATGTTTGAGATTTTGCACACCTAAAAATAGAAAAACACATGATTTGATGAGAAGTTCTGCTTTGGTTACTACTCTGCCAAAGAAGAGAGGGTGGGGGGGGGGGGGGGTTCTCGGCTGCTGAGGTCTGACAGAAACATGAAAAATAAATAGAACGTATGTAGCTGATGAAATGTCTACCGCAGTCCTTACACACTGCTTTTCTCTTCCTCCCTCCCTCCTTCGTCTCCATTTCCTTACACCCTTACCTGGACATAATCGCATAAAAAAAATTGGCTTTACGTTGTTGACCAAAACTGTTTCACTAGAAGAAGAAAATGTGTTCAGCAGCAATCAACTCTGAGGTAACAACAAGTCACTCTCACAGATCTTTGATCTTCAACACTCCCAAGATCCTGCATCCGTTAAACATATTTACAAAAAAACGGAGTAATTGCTGACGGCAGCAGCTCTTGTGATGTTACGTTGTGCTTCTCTTGCACGATTTTAAAACCTCTACTGTCAGCTGAAATGCTCCCTACCTTCATTTCTGATCTGCAAAGATAAAGATCCTCTTTCAGGTGACGTGGGTTATTTCTCACTTGTCTTCTAATCAAGTATGAGAAATTAATCAGTTCAACAATCAATTGATCCCTTCTTGGTTTAGGCTGAAAGCCATAATGCATGCTTTTGCCTAAAAATGCCTTGCTCGATGATGAGTGAAACTTTTTATTCCTGTGTCTGCAGTGAAAATGTTATTTCCCCATCAAGAATGATTTGTCATGAAGCAACTCGCTGTACCTCCAAACATCATCAGGCTTTTGAGCTTCAGTGCAATTTTAATGAACATTATCAATGCAGGAGGCACTGCCATCAGTGGGATTAATCCAGAGTCATTATCTTGTTGCACCGCCGGCTTTACTGCCACATACAGTAACTAACCCCCACCCACCCTCGGCACCCACCAGCTCAGGCCCCAGGGTGGGTCTAGAGAGTTGCCTTGTTGGAAACGATGTCCGTGAGGTCTAAACTTGAGTTCGTCTTTTCTCAGTTACTGAATGAAAGCAATAGATCTTTTCAAACGCAGCGCTTGGCCGTGCTGCCCCGTCCCAGGAATTTCAGCGCAGGATGTCGCTTCTCTTTGTATCTGGGATGTGAGATTTTTTAAAGAAGCGTTGCTTTGTGCTTCGTTTTCAACGATTTAATTTCTACTTTGACTCGAGTTATCCAAGCATTGTCGTAGATGAACCCTCTCTTTGGTTTTCCATTTCACGGATGATGATTCTGCATGAAATCGAGAGAGGTGCGATGAGTAACCGTTGTATTTCCTGCGTTGTGGTTTGAAAGTTCGCTCTTGTATTCCAGTGAATTTTAAGATGTTCACGTGTTGCACAGGTGTCACTCATTTTACGCTGTTCTTGTAAAAAATAGGAATCACAATTAGATTTTTTTTTTCTCGGTTGAAGGGAATATATTTGAAGTGGTGTTGCTGGTGTTTTGTGGCAAGAGAAGAAAAATGAAACTGACTTGTATTTTTAACTGTTTACAACATTAGCCAAGAGGAATGCTGCACTTTCTTCCTTCTGACTGATTTTTTTTTTTTAATCTAAATCCAAAGCGGTGAAATATAAAAGAAGTGCAATTAGACCATACATAAATTCATTTTGAAGTTTAATAATCAGCACATTCCTTATGCAGACATTCCTATCAGAAAAATAAATGCTACATAAGCAGTTTTTTGCCATAGATTTGCTGCACCTCAGATAACATGTATTGTTTTTGCAGCACGTCATCTTTTCGTGTCGTTCTTCACATCTGTTACGAGGAGCTTTAAAACATAGGCACGCCCTTCTTTAGCTGGATTTAAATTAGAATAAGTGTGTCAGTCATTCTGTAGTTTGGCAACGTAGATCAAGTGTATCTGCCAGTGTTGGTTATCGACGTACAATTTAATCAAGTCCAAGAAGGATTTTACACCAAAAAGCCATCTGGTTGGTCTCGTACAATGGTATTAGCTCAGCAAACTTTTCAAATGCACTGCACAAAAAGTAAATTGTGGATTTATTTTATTTATTTCTTAAACTGAATTAAAGGATGTAAGGAAAAAGTAACTTTCAGTCTACAGAGACAAATTAGCTTTTTGTACTAAAGTAATTTCATCACATCATCAGACGCTGAACATGTTCGACTAATTTATTTTATTTTATTTTTGGTGTAAGCAATATTTACTCATCGTTACAATTGTAAACATTTCATATAGTGTAGATGTTCTCTATGCAGTGATCTCAGTACTGTGCCCTCCGTTGTCTTAAAGTGCAGACGTCTCAAACAGCAGGGCTCATTAGTTCATTAGATTTTTGGTTTTGAAATTATGGACTTGCTATGAGTTGAGAGCAGTTTCTTATTATAGGCCACGCTCTGCTTCACGTTCAGGGATCATCATCTGCAGTACCGAGTGTCAGATTATGATTTAATTTCCCTCCTGCGATGCTCATTTGGAGCCAAGTCGCTCAAGATGTCTCACTTGAACTTACAAGAGTTTGTTCTCTGTAATTGCCACTTCGATGTTTATTTCGAGGGAGGATGAACTGGATGGAGGTGAACTGGTGCAAGCGGTTCCACAGGTTCTGGTTTTCACCCGTTGCTTTGAGAGGCTCGTGCCGTGTTGATCTGAAAATCTCTTCTCAATCTTGATGGATTTTCCCCGCATCCTTGATGTCTGTCGTAATAATTTGCACTAAATGTCCGTCAGTGTTTGGAAATGGAGCCTGTTGGTAAATTGAAGACGTACAAATGTAAAAGCACACCAAACCACGGAGGAACGGCAGGTTTCGTGTTCCTGTAGATAGATGTACTTTTCGTTCGTGTACATAGCTTTGACGACGCTTGTTGATAACGCCTTAAACTCTGTACATATCAAACATTCTGGGCAGGAATCTACACGTACACGTTTTTGAGAGTGACGGTTTCCTCTCTTCGATTCGGTTACATTTTCTTTATTCTTTATTTTTCATGCTTAATATGGACTTTGTGGATTTTCCGTATGTGGAAGTGAATGAAATCGAAGAGTTTTTCAGCACTTTTCTATGAGACTGTTTCAAGAGTGTCGGCAGTGAAGGGCGATCCGTTCACTCCAGCAGACGCGCACGTTTGTTTCTTCTTTGTTGCACAGGATCTGCATTTTTTTTTTTTTTAACCGCTAGAACAGATGGATTGTGTTTGGCGTCTTGTGCTGTGTCCCAAAGTCTCTGAACAATAGGTTGTGTGTGTTTGGCTGCACAAATCAAAGCGTTCCACGGGTGGAAATGTGACGGTTTCTCTTTGAGGCGTGGGAACGAAGTCCCTTCGTCCCAACATCGAGCAGCAACGGCGAGCTTTGTGCAGTCGCGGTGTTGCTGATGTTAAATCAGGAGAATGCGAACGGTTCAAAGTTTTAAAGAAGTCTGTATTTTCAGGTTTGACGTTGTGCGTTCTCCCCCCTGCACACGGTGACTCTGCTTTTTATGTGACGTGTAACTAACTTAAAAACAAAACAAAAAAACAGTATATTTTTATGCCTAAACCTGCAAAATATATGCAATTATGTAAACGTAACATTCAATCCTCAAGTATAATCCAGGTTGTATGAACTTTGTATAGTGAGTTTTACTATCGTATGGCCGTACCAACATGTATTGATCTCTATCAGAAGCCTTAGAGTTGTTGACCCAAAGTGCTCCCTTAGAAAACCCTGCACCTACCTGACCTTAACAAAGCATTAATATCTATTTTGTTGCATTTTTATTTGTACCCTTTTTGAATAAAATAGATTTTTACTGTGTATTTGTACCTCTCTGTGAACTACTTAGGGCAGTTGTTATTTCTTTGTTTTGCTGTTTTTCATTTTACGTACTTTAAAGACACAAAGATATTGTATTTTTATTGTTACAGCTAACATGGAGACATTGCATTTATCATGTTTGTTAAGTAAACACAATATAATATATATAAATATATATACAAATATAAATTTAAAAAAAGACAGTCCCACTTGTGTGTGTTCTTTTTGTTTGAACGTTTCGAGGGTTTCATTTGTGCATTTGTCCGATTCTCTGTAAAAACTGCAGCTAAAGTTTTCCACTAGCCGTCGATCACAAAAGTTTGAGAACAGGAGTTTCCTCTGGTCAGTGGCTCACTTCACATATTTGACGTTTCGTAGATTAAAGCTAAACTTTGTGGTTACGGATCATAAATTAGTCTGTAAACATTTGCTTGATATTGACTTGCTGTCTGACTCCGCTCATAAACCAGGAATGTAAAACTAAAGTCAACACAAAAGGTTACAAATTATGATGCTAACCGCACCGTGTTTTACTGATGGGAAAGGTTCTTTGCGGTCCATAAATCGTTTATTTCACGTGTGAACCTTGAATGAAGAGCAGCACCATTTCAGGTTCAAGGTTCTTCATTGTCGTTCGCATCTCGTGGTACATGAGGTGGAACGAAATTGTGTACGCAGGGTCCCAGTTACATCCAACAACAGGAAGAATTAAACTAAACAAACGGCAATAAGGTCCAAGATGTAAACTAAGAAATACAATAAAAAGAAACGATACGCCGAAGAACGGCAGCACGAGCGAGTCCGAGCAGATGAGTACGAATGAACAGCATGAAATAAAATATTCATTACGTGATCTTGGCCTTTTTTGATTTGGGACTTTTGCCGTCATCAGACATTTTGGTTCAAACTTTGTCCAAACAGAAAAATGAAAGCGCTGCAGTCTTGATCTGTTTTGGTGCAGGACCAGTTTGCACATGAGCACGAGTGGAAAATTAATAAAACGGTGTAAAATCAGCCTGATGGGTTTCCTGGCTGATCTGAACACTTCTTTACTGGTCTTTGTGGTGGAACCACTCGTACAGACGTTCTGAACGTTTGCAGCCTGAGGAGCATCAATGCTTTTTTTAAACTCGTGCTGTTCCAGTTATGAAGCTCCGACTGGTGGAGTTTTGTTCTTTAAGTCTCCACAGAAACCACGCCAACCCTAGTGAAGAGAATTACATTACTGCTGACGTTAACTTTTATTTAACCAGGCAAATCCCATCGAGATCACGGATCTCTTTTAGAAGGGAGGCCTGGGTCTGAAGGCAGCCTAACGTGCATGTTTTTGGTCTGTGGAGGAAACCGGAGTACCCGGAGAAAACCCACGCAAGCACGAGAAGAACATGTGAACTCCACACAGAAAGACCCCAGGGCCAACTGGGGATTGAACCCAGGACCTTCTTGCTGTGAGGCAACAGTGCTAACCACTGAGCCGCCGTGCTGCCACATGCTCAAGGATCATTTTGATCAGTAAACAAAATGATGGCTCGTGTTTCTTGGGTTCTGTTCAAACATTTGCACAGAAAATTAACTTAAAACTTTTAGTGACCTTAAAGGGTGCATGACCGTCGCCATACGTTTTAAATACAAACCTTTAAATCTGCATGGCAGTCGTTTGTCTAAATAGCCAATTAAAACTTTACTGAGCAACAAGGACTGACATTTTTCCACTGTCGCCCACTTAGATGAATTTTTTTAACTAATTTATTTTTTGTCTCCCCCCCAACTTTCACAAATTCAAGTAGAAAATAAAACTAAAAAAGATGCAAGCTGCTAAATAAATGAATTTGATGCAGAAATTTTAACTACCGTATTTTTCGACATATAAGTTGCACTTTTTTGCAAGTCCTGCGACTTCAACACCAAAGCAACTAATACCGGTATGTTTTTTCACCATATTTATAACCAAAGTTTTAGCTGAAATCTGATGATCTCATTCATTCTGACATGAAAAATATTAAACATCATTTTCAGCCACTAGAGGGCCCTCGAGCTTTATGGCAAGCCAAGTGCCTCACTATTGGGTAAAGGTGGCTATTAATGAGACACTTGGCTTGCCATACCTGAACTCCTGGAGCAAACTTCAAATCAGCTGCATTTCGCCTGGGCAGTGAAATGCAGCTGATTTGACCATTAAAGTGCATTTATTAAGAAAAAGTTAAAAAGAGGCACAACTTTACTATAATGTCGAGCAAACAAATAATTGTTTTGAGGTGGTTATCTTGTTAAATTCTTGTTAAAGTCTTTCCGTGCACACTCCTACCATTTTGTCAGCCAATCAATTTTTTGCACAACACCGGCCCACATTTCCAGGTTGTCAGCGGTGACGCATAATAAATGCGACTTATACGGCGAAGCAACTTGTTCATGTTTTTTCCGCATTATTAGACATTTTTGGACGGATGTGACTTATATGGCGGAAAATACGGTAGATTAAAAAAAAAGGGAATTTCGATTTTTGACACATCACCTAGAACGATTACTAAAAAGGAAATGAGATTAAATTTATGTTAAATATGATTTACTTTTTAATCAAAACAAACATTTTTCAATGATCCTAATTCAAAGAGCTGAAAATACCAAACACTAAGCAAAGACCTTCGTGTGGCTCATGTTAGCTGACAAATGTGAGACCACGTTTCTTTGTGTACACAATTTCGTTCCACCTCATGTACCACGTGATGCGAATGACAAGAAATTTGAACTTGAACAATCTACAAAACAAAGGAAAAATAATGGCAGACACTGACTTCGTAATAAATTCAATGTTTAATCCCACATTCTTCACCAGGTTTCCTGACGATCTGTACATCTGTTAATCCAGTAACAGGATGGCGCCGAGTCACGAGCGGACACGTTAGCAGTTCGGCTCATTCATTGGCCTTTGGAGGTTCTTGCTTTGTAAACATTGACATTGGGAGGAAAATTCAGATAGAATTAATACAAAAAGGCCAATATTTTTAACATAAAAAATACAGGCAGGCATAAACTAACTGCAGAACACAGGCTCATATTGAACAATTCTAGGACAAGTGCAGTTTTTAACATGCAGCGTCGGTCTAATCCAAGCTGAGCTCCACCATCGTGCCACGGCGCTCCCTCTGCAGCAAGCTTTCCAAACGCTCCACGACAAATCCAAACGGCGACCTCTGAGAATACCCAGTATTCATATTCCGAGAGGAACAAGAGACACCTGAAGCCTTCGCTGAGCTCTCTGATCCGTCATGTTTAGCATGGCAGTGAGACCCTGTAGCTTCTCTGTGCTAAACCTCAGAAAAGAAAACGTGTCGACAAGAAAAGGTTTGGAAAATTAAACGGACAAATGCTGTTCCTGTCGCATGATGCGATGAATCTCACCGAGGTGGTGATTTGGGGCTTTGAGCCCTCTGAGTTCAATTGCCTGAGAAGCAGAACTTTTCCATTTTGAATTCTGTTAAACATTTTAGCCGGCGTTCTGCATAGTTTTTTTTTTTTTTTTTTACTCTGAACAAATAATAAATGTGTTGCATAGAAGTTTGATGCACTCCTGGGAAAGCCTCTGAGCACGAGACCAAAAGTCACCAGCTCCACTGCTGTTGAATTTGCTGCAAGCGGATGAAGCGACTTTCACCGAGGAGCGACTCAAACGCTGTTCATCATCCGAGAAACAAACTGATCCTTTGACACTGAAAAGTTTTGCAACTGGAAAAGTGACGACACGACTGGAAGTAACCTTGCAGACAGGAAATGACAAGGAATTTACAAACTTGGCCTGCAATTTAAACATTTAAAACAATTTTATACCACCAAACACTTTTATGAGAGAAAAAAAATTGCATAAATATGTGCTGGAATGAGATTAACATAAAAATGAATAAAATCTGTAAAAAATAATAAAAAAAACTTTCAGTGCTTACTTACAGATAAGACATTTTCTGATTGCTTTTGAAAATATTTTCCACCTCTAATGTGACTTTTTATCCCGATGTAATAAAACCAAAAACACATAAACGCAGTTTAAGTGGTTCTAATAAGACTTACAAAGCATGTGAAGGCTACAGAAATTGCACACATTTCTGAAAACCCACTTTCTTGTAGCAGTTTCCTAATTAGCATAAAAAAATGTACATTTGCAGGCAGAATTCAAGTAATGTAACATTATCTGAGGTCAACAAGTAACATGTAGGTACTCCACCCTTTGAACCACTTGGAAAATATTTCAGTACACTTTCTTCGATGAGTCCAGAATATATAAGAGGTAACTAATGTTTTGTACAGTACAATAACAGCAGTGCAGACTGAGTTTATACAAGCCAGAGAAAGGCTCAGTAACAAAGAAAAAATAAATGACACTGGCAAATGTTAATATGGAGTGTAAATGGCAAAAAGAATGTGAGGAGGCAGATGTGTCCAACTCGGGAGATGAAGGGAATGTTCAACAGGACAAATGTTCAGAGTTCCTGTGTTCAGAAAGGCAAGACTCAAACTGCACCGATGTGTCTGGAAACGACTTGCTTCAGTAAATGTCCTATTAAAGTGCCTTATGAGAAACACAAAGGGAGGAAATAAACCTGCGTCTGTAGAGCTGTCCAGTCCGTACAGAGCTGTGGAAGCTTGGTGTTGGAAAGCAGTGAGCCAGAGGACAGAGCGCCACCACGGCGCCGGATGAGGTAGTAGTTTGGACATGAACTTCCCGCGGTAGCAGCTTGAAGAAAGAGGTAGGCCTGTCACGATAACAAATTTTACTGAGCGATTAATTGTCTCAGAAATTATTGCGATAAACGATATTGTTTGAAATTTGACAATTAGTAATTATTGTCAAATGTAAAGAGAAATGTTGGTTAATTTTGCGTGTAGTACCTTTTGTTGACCACCGGATGGCAGTATAAGACTGTTTGAACCAAAGATAGTGAGGGAGCGAGCAGCGTGTCTCTAAGAAAAATGGGAGGGAGGCCCCTTGACGTGGCATGGGCTGTCTCTCATTCCTTTTTTTTGGTTCTCAAAATGGCGGACGCTTGGTGTGGTTTGAGCTCTTTAGCATTTTTCACACAAAGCTTTTAATTAAAAAAAAAATCAGTAAACAGGTTCTCAGCTTCTTTTTGCAGAGAAAAACAACTTATACACGAAGGCACGGGTTTCAACCGTGAATTTTGGAGCTTCGACAAGACGGGAGTTTTTTTTTCCCTCGAGGTTGTCATGTTAGCTTAGCTCGTAGCTTAGCTGCTTTTAACGATCCAAAAACGCGATTTTGGACGATTAAAACAGATTTTAAAGAGAAAGGGAGGGGTCAGTGAAGAACACCGGAGTTGAGCCTTTTGTCATCCAGTGTCTTCAGTAGAAAGAGAGAGACACGAAGAAACGATAAAGCCGATAAATGAAAACGAGGTTGATAATTTTCATTTATCGTGCGAATAATTGATTTATTGTTCATCGCGACAGGCCTAGAAAGAGGTGTAGCTACCGGTTAGTCTGAGTTACAGGGACTAGCTGAGTGGACCAGGAAAGAAGGGGCATGTGGCTTTAAAGTTCCCACTCCCCTTACTGAGGATCCATGTGCAAATGACTTTTTGTCTCCTCCAAAGGAACTGTGTGCCACAGAACGTACTGAGTAAAATCTGCTAATCCGCAGACAAACAGATAAATCTCATTACAACATGCTCGTACATCAGCCAGACAATATGAAACATACTTAACCCTGTTTCCAAGGTTTGTTTTAAGACTAATAAATTAGAAAGTTAAGAAGTTTTTGCACTAACAATGTAGCTTATGTGAAGCTGTTCAATGCGAAAAAAATAATAATCTGGAAGGAAATGAGTGAAGTGTGATTTTAACGTCACCACGGTAACCCGATGAAGCAGGTTTAGGATGTTAAAAGACCGTCGCTCCTTCCTTAAATTCTCAAATTATGGCAGCTTCATGAAGAGCCCGTTATCAATGGAGGGGACGGGCATAGGACAGGGGAACTGAAAAAGACTCATGTCCGCTGTGAGGGCAGCCATGGCAGCAGGATCATGCTCAATCTGTGTCCTCAGAGCAGGGTCGATCTTCTCCAGCCGCCGTTTGATCCTCTTGGCCTCCCTCTCGCGAACCAGCCTGGCCTGCCTCTTCTCCGGCGTCTCGTTGGCCCTCTTCAGACGCATGGCCTCACGGTCTCTCTGCAGCCGGCGTGCCCGCTGCTCCTCCGACTCCTGCATCCTCTGCATGCGCTTGGCCTCGCGGTCTCGCAGCCGCCGCAGTTCTTTCTCCTCGTCCGTCTCACACGCTCGCTTGTTCTTCTTCGCGTTGCGCTCGCGTTCTAAACGCTGCAAGCGAGCCTCCAAGGGCTCGTTCTTCCGACGCAGAGCCCATTTTCGCATTGGCGATTGTGCGTCCACCAGCTGCTGATAGGCCACGCAGCTGTTGCACACCAGCAGCACCCCAGCTGGATACACCGGCATAGGACTCAGGATGTCAGGTATAGGAGGAAGGGCTGAGGAGGAGGAGTTGAGAGCTTCAGGGATAGATGCGAGCGACGGCCCTTCAGACAGGAGACTGTCGGGCAGTGACGGAAAGGAGGGGCCTTGGTCAGACCCTGAGCACGGTCCTGGGCCTGAGCCGTGGCACGCCCGTTGGTCCGGACACTGGCTGGACATGTGGCTGGGGCCCTGGCACAGGTGCGAGGCTTGGCAGAGGCTGGGAGTGTGTTCAGGAGCTTGACACAGATGTGCACCCTGACACGAACTGGGACTAGGACCTGATCCATGGCAGGAGTGAGCGTTGGAGCCCGGGCTGCTCATGGGGCTGCTGGACAGGGACTGGGACAGGGAGCAAGCATCCCGTCCAACACTGATGTCCAGCCTTGTGGTATCGAGGACATCTTTAAGCTTCTCCCTGAAAGACACAACAGCAGCCAAATCAGCTTTCAGCCATGTTTGTTTTCACGGTTTATTCTAAATTGCTTTTTAGGGGCTGTGGTAGCTCAGTGGTCAGTGCTACAGTCTCATGATCCTGGGGTCGTGAGTTCGAACCCAGGTTGCATCAGGAAGGGCATCTGATATAAAATAGCTTTTTAAGTCAATTTTGTGACGTTTTATAAAAACGTCTTCACCGTTTTCCAGGTGAAACTACAGCTGAGTAAGAAAACACATAAATAAAAGTTTTATGTTGTTTTCTTTAAATATCAAGGTTCAAGGTTATTGTCGCATCACGTGGTGACATGAGGTGGAACGAAATTATGTACCCAAGGTCCCAGTTACACCCCAAAATAGCAAAAATGTAAAAAGAAGAAACAGTATACAAGGACAACAAAGTCCATGCTCAGTAATCCAGGTATACAATCCAACATTTTTCAGTCAGGTCATCTGGACAGTTTCTTTTTTTTTTTTTTGTGCTGAAACGTTTCGCCTTCGATCCAGAAGGCTTCGTCAGTCAAGGAAACACACAACAAAACTGATTCTTCCCCCAACAGCTCACTCCAAAGTGGAACAAACCAGTTCTGCTTGTGATAAGATGGTCTCTTCCGGATCGACATGGATTTTGTTGTTTTCAACCAGTTTGACAAGAGTGTCAACAAGGAAGAGGGCCGGCAATGGAGGAGGGGGCGTACCAAAGAGACCATCTTATCACAAGCAGAACTGGTTTGTTCCACTTTGGAGTAAGCTGTTGGGGGAAGAATCAGTTTTGTTGTGTGTTTCCTTGACTGATGAAGCCTTCTGGATCAAGGCTAAACGTTTCAGCACCAAAAAAAAAAAGAAAAAAGAAACTGTCCAGATGACCTGACTGAAAAATGTTGGAGTATACAAGGATCTACTTTTTAAGATATACACTAAGATATACGCTAAACACTAATAATGCAAAATAGTACAATATATTAAACAGTATGTTAAGCGGCAGCCTGAACATGAGTCTGTAGTGGGCAGATGAGTATGAATACACCATGAGATAATCAGCAGCATGAGATCAGCAGCATGGATAATCAGCAGCACAGATAAGTCACATATCACCAATTAAAGAGGCATTATAGTGAATATTATGAGTCTAACAGCCTCAGGGTAGAAGCTGTTCCTCAGTCTAGTGGTTCTACACTTAATGCTCCTCGACCTCCTGCCTCAGGGGAGCAGGGCAAAAAGTGCGTGCTGGGTGAGTGGGGTCCTTCGTGATGCAGGTGGCCCTTTTCTATATTTGTTTAAATATGACATTACGTTGTTTTTAATATTAAAAATAATGGTTAAAATTTGATGAGCCGAGTAAATAAATGTACTAAATAATTTTTACTTATGTGTGACTGATACAATATCAAACCACTTTATCTTATCGATGAAATCTGACAAATTTCTAACCATTTCCTTTTTTTTGTTGTTTATGAACAAAACAATGAGAAGAAAAATGGACACGGTGCATAGTGAACTGTGAGGTGTATAAATATGGAGCTTTGTCCACACATTACATCATTTTTTGTGCTTTTTGAAGCAACATGCTGCTTTATAAATTATATTATATATATTTCTTAGATCCTTATATACCGTTTCTTTTTATACTTTATATTTTTGCTATTTTTGGGTGTAACTGAGTACACGGTTTCGTTCCACCTCATGCACCACATGTGATGCGAATGACAAAAATCTTGAGAAATCTTTAAAGTTTAAAGTATTTTTCTTTGCTTGTCATAATATGCTGCTTCTCCAAACCCCTGTGATGATTAAAAAAAGCCTACTAGTAGTTGCTAAGCAACATTAAGTTTATTTTCAATAAATCAGTCATCGCAGTGCCAATTACATGCACCCCCATGGTCTAGAGTCTGGTTCAGCTCAGATCAAGAACAAATGCTTCATTTATTCCAGTGCGTTCCTTTGAAAACAAATTTCATTTTGTATGCTCATATTTTCACAAAACCGATCTTTGTCTTTTGGGAAATTGTGCCTTTTCATCTTTTTGACAGTTTGTGAGGAATAAAGTTTACAGTAGATTCTGCTTCTGAATCTGCTGCTCTGACTGTTGGCTGAAGAATGTGTTGTTTTATTGAAACCAGTAAAAAAAAATCGAATTATTATTCAAATTAAATGGGAAATTATACTTAGACTCTTTTTTAAAATAAAGATTAAAAAGCATCATCATAGATCGTACTACTAAATCACATGTAAAACATCCAAACGCGTGTTTGTTTAAAGATAAACTGTTAAGTCCTGAGGCCGGAGCCGAACCTGTTGAAGTTGTTGGTGTCCGTGAAGCGTGCGCCGCAGACGGCGCAGTTGGAGAGGCGGTCCTCCGAGTGGATGAGAAGATGCCGTCCCAGTGAGCCAGGAGAACTCAGCGCTCGCCCACACACTGGGCACACGTAGCTCTTGGTGTTGCTCATCGAGCTCGTGTGCTGGTAGAAACGGCGAAACCAGATTAACACAACTGAACACGGGAAACGGTGAAAAGACGACAGTAAGTGGCTTTAGAAATCTAGAAAAAGAGCTGATGGATGAAAAATAAAATCATGACTGCATCGTTAGAAAGAAACCCTGAACAAGTGAAGCACTTTGCTGCTGCTTTAAAAACTGGGCAGAGGAAGAAGACGGGCCTGTGATTGGAAAGTCGCAGGTTCAACTCCCCGTACCGTCAACATCAAAATGTGGGTGGAAAAGGTGAAACACCCACACCTGCCTCCACCCTCATTTGCTCCACTCTGGGCCCCTGAGCAACCCCCACCATCTGCTCCCTAAACAGGTCTCGTGGCTCAATGAGACTACCTGGATAAATAAAGGCTAAATGAAAAAATAAAACTGAGTGTGTGACATCGAACCAACGGTGTGCAATGATGATCATGAAAACACAAACAAGGTATAAATAAAAAATGAAGGTAAAGTGAGACTTTGTTAGTAATAACATTTTAATTAAAAGATGAATTATTGCAATCAAAAACATTTAAAAAAAATTACCATCCAGACATGTGATACTCTGTACTCAAAATTAAAATTATGGATCAACCGTAATTTCCGGACTATAAGCCGCTACTTGTTTCACACACTTTGAATCCCGCGGATTATACAACGCTGCAGCTAATTTATGGAGTTTTTTTTTTTTTGATGGGCTAACGAGCTTCATGCAGCCAAAACATTTAGCCTCGTCACATCCGAGCGCTCACATAGCTGTTCAATATACGTCTCTCTTGGGGGGGTAGAGCTGGACAATAATTCGATATCGATATATATCGCGATATACTTTTATTCAATAACGATGATATGAGTTTTAAGCACATTTTCGATATTTCGATAGGATTACAGCGTTTCACTGACGCATTTCTTTTTATGTTCGGGTTGAAACTGAAGCGGCCACAACTACGTCAGTGCGTGGTGACGTAGATGTTACGCCCAGAAGGTGGTAGCATGCAAAGCTAAGCTAATCTCCAACGTGCGTCGTTTTCTCTTGAAAATGAGTTCCCACGAGCGTCAGAACGTGACTGAACAAGCTTTCACAAGCGAAGAGAAAGCAGATGACATCACTGATAAGAGAGGAAAGACTAATTCACCGGGGTGGAAGTGGTTCGGCTTTCTAAGATCCGATAAACTGCAGGTTTCAGTCAGTGTGCTGCAAAATGTGACGGAGGGTCGTTCCAACTAGCCGTGGGAACATCTAACGTGTTCCACTCGACAGAATATGATGAGAGTCAGAAGATGAAGCTCAATAAAAGTTTGAGCCCTGAAACAACACCCCAGCGCTGCATGTTGTTTTTTAATTTTTATTCATTTATTCATTCATTTAAAATAAAACAAATTCATCAGAAAGATAAAAACATTGAATGAAAAGGTTGCAGAAAGAAGAAAAAAAATTATTATCTGCTCCTTTTTGAAAAAACAAACAAAATAACTACAAACAAACAAACAACCTTCACTTGAACAAGCTCCAAACTGAAAACAAAAAAACTTCACTTGGCACTAAACCTTCCCAGCAACTTCAACTCAATCATCTTTTTAAACGTATAAATTGTTTTAGAAATGTTTATGGAGATATCAAGACGATTCCACAATCCTGTTCCCTGAATTACAACGCAGCTCCTTCACACCAGTTCTAAATGAGGTTTTACAAACATTTACATTAACTTAAGGTTATAATGACTCTTTGTTTTTTGTTTTTTTTACAAATTTTAATTTAATTTTGGAGCTAATATTTTTATGAGCTTTATACATGACTTGTAAAATACTATATTCAACCAAATCATAAAATTTTAATAATTTCAGCTGATTAAATAATATATTTGTTGGGTGACTATACTTCCTACTAATAATTCTTATAGCTCTTTTTTGTAAAATAAAAATAGGGTTTGTAATTGTTTTGCATGTTTTTCCCCAGACTTCAATACAATAGATTAAATATGGAACAATCATAACATTAAACAATATATACAAAGCGTTGTCATTCAAAAACTTTTACTTTATACAGTCATGCAATTGATTTTGCTGTTTTTATTCTTAAGTAATTTACATGAGATTTCCACGTCAGCTTCTCGTCAATAACGACACCCAAAAAGTTTATTTCATTAACAACGACTTTCAATACTGTCAATTTTAAAGTTGCTGTTTAAAGTTGAAACTATTAATATTGACAAAGTTGAGAATTTTATGTGTATTTGACGGGGATTTAAATTTTTTGAAGGTTAAATACAAATAAAAGGTGAACATTAATTTATTTGTATAGTTTGTAGTTTTTCAGAGGCTTTTATATTTTTTTATATCGAATTATATCGATATCGACTGAAATTAAGAAATATATCGTGTTAAAAGTTTTGGCCATATCGTCCAGTTCTAGGTGGGGGTGGGGGGTCCTCGTGACTCTGAGACTACCTGTATAGATAAAGGTAAATAAAAAATCTGACCAATGAAATTACTGAACAGGTCACAGTCAAACCAGTGAAACGGGGGAGGGGGGGAGAGAACGGGATCTCCCCTCCCCCGTTGGGCCTCCATGGAGGGGGAGAAATGAAGTTTCGAAAGGCAGCTGTGATGGAGGACAGCGATGACCTCCTGGTAGGCTATTTATTTTATTTTTTTAACCAGCCATGTTGAGAAAAAAACATTTACTGTACATACTTGTATTTGTTGCCGGTACATATTTAATTAAAAGTTAAAAATATATTTCTGTGTAAATATTTCATGTTACAACGTGGACACTTGTGGCTTATAGACAAGTGCGGCCTATATATGTACAAAATTATTATTTTTTAACTTAGAGGGCGTGGCTTATAAAAAATAATAACTAAAAGTTGAGCCCAGTAAATAAATGTACTAAAAAACTTTTTTTTTTACTTATGTGTGACTGACACAATATCAAAACACTTTATCTTATCGATGAAATCTGACAAATTTGTGCTCAATGGTCCAGAAATGATGGCACTTAAAGCGCAGCCAACACCAGAATGTATTACCTGCTCGACAGTTTGGACACAAACTGCAGTTCTCACCTGGTAGACATGTGAGATGAGCCGCTCAGGGCTGCTGAAGTCCAGCGTGCACAGCGGGCAAACAAAGCTGCCGTGGTCGGCCCCGTCCTCGCTCTCCTGGAGGAGGTTAAAGACAGTTTTACGAGTAAATCTAAAGACTCCAAGTTTTAATTACACAAGAGTCTTTAAACACTGTTCGCATTTGAAACATTAAGATGAAATTCATTTCAATCACCTCCAACGACCTGAAGCACATTTTAAACCCCGACAGGGGCAGGCCTGTGTAGAATATTTCTGTCTGGAACACTTTTTTTTTTTTTTTAAGTGTAGGATGATGTGTACGAGCTCTCACAAGTCGCAGTGACTCGTTAACAGCAGCTGTGTGTTGTTCCAGATGTTACTCACACTGAGGCTGAACTACAGGAAGACTTTCCAACAGAAGGTACCGGCACAAAGCGTACTGGTGTGTGATGTGTGTGTATGACCTGCTTTTAAGATTTCACACCTCACACAAGTATTTTACAACAATGGCAGAAAAAAAACTCATATAGGTGTTTTTTTAATCAGCTAGTAATAAAATACTTGTTCTGATAAGGTGGAAATGTTTTCAAAATGTCAGTTATGAACATTTCCTGTTCAGCGCTTCAACTTCCTGCTTTTAATTTCAGCTACAACAAATAAAATCTAGTTAATCTTTTCAATACATTTCCATATCTATCCACCTGCTGCAGCGTAACAGCATCATGAGTCCCTGTAACAAGCACCGTCACAACTTCTGCTTCATGTACAGTTCGTGTACAGCAGTCCCTCACGACGTCGCAGTTCGTTTGTGGCGGACTCGCTCGATCGCGGTTTTTCAAAATAAGATTGGACATGACGCACAATTATTGGCTGATTGATGGATGAGCCGCACGACTGGTATGGAGTTTTAAATATTTTAAATTATTTAGCACCTCCTGCACTTTTGTGTAGCCAATACTGCAGGATAAACTTCCTGCTGCAGCTGATCAGCTGTTCTCCGTGCAGAGATAAGAAGTGGGCGTGGCCAAGAGCACTTGCAGGTGGCTGAGAGCAGCGGAGGCAGGGAGCTGAAATCATGATATTCTGTGCTCTTTTATATATATATATATATATATATATATATATATATATATATATATAAAATAACAACTACTACTTACTACTTGTACTACTATTCCTACTTCGTGGTTTTTCACTATTATTAGGTATTAGTTTTGTTTTTAATCGCTGCAGCTGATAAAGTTATCATGTTCATAACCCATGAAAGTTTTGTACAATCATCTCAGTTATTCACAGATTTCAAGAGCAGCTGTTTCAAGCAGAGGAAGACCCTTAACAAACATTTTGCTCTGTGGTGTTTAGCGTATATGTGTGTCTTTAAATGGGATTAAAGTTATAGAAACAAAGATGAAAGCAGTCATTTGCACTCCAGCTCGCTCACCTCCTTGACTCCCGCTCCTTCGAGGCGGCACTGTGTCCTCGTGGAGGTCATGTGGTCGTCGGCAGAGGTGTTGGAGGACGAGTCTTCAGCGTGGTTGTCGGCGTCGCTATCGCTTTCTTCTATGGAGGCAAACACAGCCCTATCATTACAGACACACAACAGAACACAGAGCAGGGCTTATTCTCACTAACACCCCTCAGTCCGAGGATGATCCTATGGAGTCCATCCTGCACCCCCCCCATCCCTTTCCTCCATCTTGTACCTGACAAGCTGTCCTGCCCTTGGACTTCCTGGGAGTTGTTGCTGCAGCGTTCGCCGTCTTCGGTGAATTCATCCCTGCCATCCATGTTAATAGTGTGCTGAAGTCTTGGTAAACCTGAAGTGTGGAACGGACCTGCAGAAGAAAAGAGGTGAGATCACTTAATGGTCTCGTTGTGATGGGAAAGAAAATCATTACAGACAAGAGGTAAGACAAAGACACCAGTTTAACAAAAGAGAGGATATGATGATGCATCCAATATGAATTTACAATATCAAATTACGTGGACTTGAACTACAGAGATAACTTGACAAAAGTGCAACTCAAATAATTTGGAACCAGGTTAATCTCACAATAATATAGTGCAGATGCCAGAATATGTTGTATTTCTTACAGGAACATCATCTGCACACCTGGTACTTGTTTAACTGTTCGGTGTGAACGCTCCCAACTTGCAGTTGAATCACCCCAGACAGATATTTAATGTCAGGTATGAACAGTCCCAAAGTTGTCAAATCTGGTTTCATAGCTCCTGGATGATCCAGGACTATTTTAGGCGAAATCATGAACGTAACAAATTATTTAAATACAGTGCTTTTTGAAAGTATTCGGCCCCTTGAACTTTTCAACCTTTTGCCACATTTCAGGCTTCAAACATAAAGATATAAAATGTTAATTTTTTGTGAAGAATCAACAACAAGTGGGACACAATCGTGAAGTGGAATGAAATGTATTGGATGTGTCAAACTTTAACAAATAAAAAACTGAAAAGTGGGGCGTGCAATATTATTGGGCCCCTTTACTTTCAGTGCAGCAAACTCACTCCAGAAGTTCAGTGAGGATCTATGAATGATCCAATGTTGTCCCAAATGACTGATGATGATAAATAGAATCCACCTGTGTGTAATCAAGTCTCCGTATAAATGCACCTGCTCTGTGATGTCTCAGGGTTCTGTTCAAAGTGCAGAGAGCATCATGAAGACCAAGGAGCACACCCGGCAGGTCCGAGATATTGTTGTGGAGAAGTTTAAAGCCGGATTTGGATACAAAAAGATTTCCCAAGCTTTAAACATCCCAAGGAGCACTGTGCAAGCAATCATATTGAAATGGAAGGAGTATGAGACCACTGCAAATCTACCAAGACCCGGCCGTCCCTCTAAACTTTCATCTGGAACATGGAGAAGACTGATCAGAGATGCAGCCAAGAGGCCCATGATCACTCTGGATGAACTGCAGAGATCTACAGCTGAGGTGGGAGAGTCTGTCCATAGGACAACAATCAGTCGTACACTGCACAAATCTGGCCTTTATGGAAGAGTGGCAAGAAGAAAGCCATTTCTCAAAGATCTCCATAAAAAGTGTTGTTTAAAGTTTGTCACCTGGGAGACACCAAACATGTGGAAGAAGGTGCTCTGGTCACATGAAACCAAAATCCAACTGTTTGGCCACAATGCAAAATTATATGTTTGGCGTAAAAGCAACACAGCTCATCACCCTGAACACACCATCCCCACTGTCAAACATGGTGGTGGCAGCATCATGGTTTGGAGCTGCTTTTCATCAGCAGGGACAGGGAAGATGGTCAGAATTGATGGGAAGATGGATGGGGCCAAATACAGGACCACTCTGGAAGAAAACCTGTTTGAGTCTGCAAGAGACCTGAGACTGGGACGGAGATTTATCTTCCAACAAGACAATGATCCAAAACATAAAGACACGTCTACAATGGAATGGTTCACAAATAAATGTATCCAGGTGTTGGAATGGCCAAGTCAAAGTCTAGACCTGAATCCAATCGAGAATCTGTGGAAAGAGCTGAAGACTGCTGTTCACAAACGCTCTCCATCCATCCTCACTGAGCTCGAGCTGTTTTGCAGGAAGAATGGGCAGAACTTCAGTGTCTCCATGTTCAGAACTGACGGAGACGTACCCCAAGAGACTTGCAGCTGGAGCTGCAGCAAAGTGTTAACGCAAGGGGGCCCAATAATATTGCAAGGCACTGTATATAAAGAGCCATGAGTTGTGGTAGCTCTACCAAATGTTTCTGTGGAGACACTTCTCTGCAGACTCATACGAATCATTCCACATGGAAACATCATGAAGTCAGCGAGGTGAGCCCACTAATATTTTTGTTTGAACATGAACATGAATTTACAACCCGCCCCCCACACACACACCTTCCTTTTCACACACGGATGCATGCTAGGCTGTTCCAGCATCCATGCCGCAGTCCCTCAGGAGAAGCACCGCAGCCTCGTTTCATCCAGCTAGCTGCCGAGCTACAGAGTTTCTCCTAATCTCTCTCGACACCGCCCACACACAGCGAGCAGCCTGGCTCGCCCGCTGTCCTCCCTGCTCGTATGTAGCTTCCTCATCAATACATGGGCTCTGAGCGGGGAGGACGCAGCTTCAGCATGACAGCGTACAGTTTGTGGCCCTTCCACTCAGTGACAGTGATAATCATTCACTTTTCTTAATCAGTTTATTTATATCAGAGTCAGAGTCAGAGTCAGAGTTTCTTTATTGTCATTCGCACCTCATGTGGTACATGTGGTGGAGCGAAATTATGTACGCAGGGTCCCAGTTACATCCAACAATAAAATGTATAAGAAAAACAGTAATAACATCTAAGATATGAACTAAGAAAAACATCAACTAAATATACACTAAGCACTCATAACATAAAACATTGAACATCAGCACAAACATGAACATGAGTCTGTGAGCAGATGTGCACGCATGAACACATCAACATTGAAACAGATCAGCAGCAACATGAAACAGATCAGCAGCAACATGATATGGTTTTTCACAGTGATTATTCTAGTTAGAGATTCATGAGTCTAACAGCCTCAGGGTAGAAGCTGTTCCTCAGTCTAGTGGTTCTACACTTAATGCTCCTTAACCTCCTTCCTGAGGGGAGTGGGGCAAAAAGTGTGTGTGCTGGGTGGGTGGGGTCCTTCATGATGCAGGTGGCCCTCTTCCTGCATCTGGAGGTGTAGATGTCTGTGATGGTGGGGAGACTGATTCCGACAGATTTCTGTGCAGCCTTCACCACTCTCTGCAAAGCTTTTCTTTCTGCAGCTGTGCAGCCTCCGTGCCACACATTGATGCTCGAGCACAGGATGCTCTCCACTGCACACCTGTAGAAGGAGGTGAGGACTGAGCTTCCCAGACCAGCTCGCCTCAGCCGTCTGAGGAAGTAGAGTCTCTGATGAGCTTTCTTGATCAGGCTGGTGGTGTTGTTGCTCCAGCTGAGGTTGTCATTCATGTGTACACCCAAGTACTTGTAGCTGGAGACCACTTCCACCGCAGATCCTCTTATGTTCAGGGGGGTGTAGGTGTTTTTGTTCCTTCTGAAGTCCACAATCATCTCCTTTGTCTTCTTCACATTGATGTGAAGATTATTCTCTCTGCACCAGCTCTCCAGGTGTTCCACCTCCTGCCTGTAGCTGGACTCATCATTGTTTGTGATGCATCCCACCACCGCTGTATCATCTGCAAACTTTACAATGTGACAGCCTGGATGGGTAGCTGCACAATCATATGTGAGCAGAGTAAACAGGAGGGGGCTCAACACACATCCCTGAGGAGAGCCAGTGCTGAGGGTTATGGTGGAGGAGGAGAGGTTGTGGATCCTCACTAACTGTGGTCTGTTTGTTAAAAAGTCTAGTACCCAGTTGCAGATGGAGGGGCTTAGTCCTAGTGTGGATAGTTTGTCCATCAGGGTTTGGGGGATCATGGTGTTGAAGGCGGATGTGAAGTCCACAAAGAGCATACGGACGTAAGAGTTTTTCTGCTCCAGGTGGTTGAGTGCAGTGTGGACCACAGAGGAGATTGCATCCTCTGTTGATCGGTTCTCACGGTATGCGTACTGATGAGGGTCCTCGTTGATGTTGATGGTTGTTTTGATGTGAGTCATGACCAGTTTTTCGAAGCATTTAGCGACTATCGGGGTGAGGGCCACTGGCCGATAGTCATTCAGACCAGTCACTGTAGAGCTTTTTGGGACTGGGATGATGGTGGCAGTCTTCAGGCAGGTGGGAACTGTCTCCAGGGTAAGTGAGGTGTTAAAGATGTCTGCCAGCACCTCACAGAGCTGATCAGCACATTCCTTCAACACTTTTCCGGGGATGTTGTCTGGGCCAGTTGCTTTGTGCGGATTAATCCTCCTGAAGGTACTCCTTACGTCTGCTGAGGTCACGCTGAGATGCTCTTCATCCGGTGGTGAGGTGAGTCTGGTGCTGGGTGGTCTGTTCGGGTCTTCAAAGCGTGCATAGAACTTGTTGAGGGCATCAGGCAGAGATGGGTCTTTGGGACTTATATAAAGTCCCAACAGAAGTCGTGTCAGGGCAAAAACATGCACATGCAAAAAGACAGTTATTAAAAGTTCTCTGTTTAAGGAAGCAGCAGATTGTGCTGAATCTTCACTTCGTCACAGTCGCCCATCCTGAGCGAGCACGAAGGAGACAGTGGGAAGGAAAAACTCCCTCGACAAAAACCCTGAACACCTGTATTGGAGCCCCCCAGCGTCTTGATTTACAAAGTTTTGTTAAAAGCTCGTTTGGCAGCGACACACTGAAATTTATGACCGCTTTAAAATCTAATTTTCTTCTCTCCTGCATCTTTTCTGTAACGCAGGTCAGACACGGACATCCGTTACCTGAGACTGACGCAGGTAGTTACACAAACCTGAGGTTTTGTGCACGTGCACACAATTCCTCCCACTCTACAGAAAATACTTCAGGTTTACTCCTCTGTAATCAGATTACTTTTATTTAGTCTGTGAACGCAGTTTGGACTTTTTCCCACACCGGTCCGTGCATTCATTATCTGTGACAGGGAGGGTCCGAGAATTGAACTACAGCAAGCCGGCTTCTCGGCTCACAGCCAATGATTGATGTGAGAGAAATGCCCCCCCCCCCCCCCCCCCCCCCCCCCCCCCCCCCCCCCCCCCTCCCCGCCGCCCGCCCGGCCCCCCGCGCCCCCCCCCCCCCCCCCCCCCGCGCTGTTTCGTGTCTCTTTCTCCCTTGTCCCCCCCCCCCCCCCCCCCCCAGTCTCTGCCACTGTGATGTTATCTCTGAGTCTGTGTGTCTGTAGGCAGGAGGTGACGCAGTGTCTGAGTCCAGACAAAG